CCCAGTGAAAATTAATCATTTTACAGTATTCTTATTTAATAATTTTGCAACATAGTAAAAAATCCAATCTGTATTTCATCATGACACTTGTATGTGTATACCGGTAGCTACCTTGTAGCTAAATGTGGCCATGTTTTACCAAGAGGTAGACACACACTCAAATTTCATTGCAAAGCTATAGTTAGGGACACTCCATGTCCACAAGATGTGCCTCCTGTCATTGTCACTCTCTATATATGTGTTCTGTTTGGCAGCTCCATCTATAATAGGCAAGTGTTTCCTCCACCTTGGTGCTAGTGGGGAGGGGTGGGGTGTTGGGGTAGGATGGGGTGGTGGCTGTCCATCTGAAGGAAGGTATATGCTGAAGGGGTGGGGGTTGTCATTCACTGTAGGTCTGTCATGCTCTACTGCATGTTCAGCATGTATAACTTGGCATGATGAGAATGTATAGATAAGATCTAGGTAAACATTCTACATGCTCTATCTGGGATAATATTCATTAAAACAAATCAAGAGGAAAGTGAGATTACAGTAAACTGGACTGCATCAGTTTGAAATTAACAATGTCCTAATAAATAACATGGAATGGATCTAAAAAATGTTACTCATCACTTAAATTGAAAAGAATAAACGAGTAGAATATCTAAAAATGTCCTTGTTTGACTCTCAATACAATCTCTTGATCTTGTCTATTTACTGCGACCCACTTTTATTTTAGTGTATGCTGGGAAGGTTTCTTTGATACACTAGACAGCCTCTGGTCTGCATCAATTTTATCATTTGTTGATTTTCTGATGTGTTAATAGCCATTATTGTTGTATTTGGGATGAACCATTTGAATGGGTAGGAGGTTCTTAGTAGAATAGGATGGGTAAAAGTTTTAAACAGTCATTTTCCAGAATTTCCATCTTGTCTTGCAAATAGAGAATTGTTGAAACAAATTATATTTAGAAAGCAACATACTACAGTCTGTAGGAGAAGGGGGTCTCAGAAAATGGTATATGACTTGAATTTAATATAGAATTTTGTTTCCCCTGAGCAATGGATATTTAGAATTGTTTGATTTCTGAGCATTTTTCTCAAACCACACAGTCCAAATTCTCTTCCTTCATTAAATGACACAATTTATGATCCAGACTGGGCAATCAGAGTTAACATCAAACCCAGGTCTAGACAGTTGACTGAACTGAATGGCAGCTTTGTTGAGGGTCAGTGCATGACAGAACTTGTGTTTGAGGTTCAGTGAATGCAGGTTTGTTGATACTTGAGGGTCAATGAACAAAAAAAAATATATCACTTTGAAATCTAGAGAAAATAGATTAGTCATCTTACCCATAATTCAGTGCAAATATTTTTTCATTCTGTCAAATTTCCACTAAATTTCCACATTATTTTGTACCATACGGACAGTTCAAGATATTGCTATTAGTTTTTGATCAACATTTTGTCAATTCTTATCAACATTTCATGAGAAGACTACACAAAATCAATTTGTAGATATTTCATAATGTTGACAACAGCACTCGATGTTTATAAGTATTTTAGGGAATTTTTTTCTCAATTTTTAGTAAAACTGAGCAAAATTTGTGGCACCAAAGGAGTAAAACTGTACATGGTCATATGTCATGTTTAAGCTTATGTTAATGAGGATGGTATAAAAATAACAATGCACAATAATAACATGAAAAACGAAAATTATTTTCAAGCTATCCATGTTGTTTATTTGGACATCCTAACATTTTATTTACCCTTTGTGAGTTTATATGGTTTATCAAGGTGAAGTTTTACCCAGTATCACATGGATTCAAATTTGAAAAAAATAAATAGTTATATAAATTATTTTTATGTCATTAAAGGCTTCCTTCATTTTCAATATTTGTCATCCCTAAAATTTTGTATTCATTTTTACGGCAAAAAAAAAATTATGTCAAAAAAAACTTTAATATATTTTGCCATAATAAATCAGTTGACGAAATATGTGTATTTTTCAAAAATGTTTTTTTTTTTTTTTCAGTGAAAATAGTTATATAAACTAATTTATTAAAACAAATATTTATTAGTAGTGCATACATTTACATAATTGACAGATGTGTCTTATAATGATTAAAATAAAGTACATTTAGATCTAGTAAATATAACTGTTTACTTGAACCTCTATTTAAGATACATTACAAATATAACAAATATGATTGTGATGTCAACTATGCAAATATTACTACATGTATACATTACTTTAATTTCATTTAGCCGCCCCTCCCCCCAGTAAATGATGTGTATAACCTTGAGCATTAAAATGTCTATTAACTAAAAATAAATTTCCGTTAAATTAATTATTCTGCAATTAGTTATTGCAATTTCCAAGATTTAAACATATATAATTTGTAAAAATTATATTGATAATTTAATCAACATTGGTAATATGAAAAACTCGTTTACCGATACTATTTGACTGAAAACATGTAAACCAAACTTGAGTGTTATAACGGTTTAATTTAAAGTTGATTTCCTTGCAGCAGTTTTTAAATGTACAAATTTATATTTTGGTTTTGACCTCTAGAATTCAGGCAGAAACTGCACTTGGCCTAAAAATTTGGGAGTGGTAGATCGACAAACCCCATAGTGTTTGGTAACTTAAACACACTCATTACTCTCTCATTTCACAGTAGGAAAGTGCCCCAACATGTTAGGATACATTCTGCTGTGGCAACTTGATATGCACTTGGTGCACTGTCTGCATTCATACCATGTTGATGGTGTAAAACGATAAGGATTTTGGGCAAAACACTCAATCTTTATTAAACCAATTATGGTAGTTACTAGGTATGCATGGGATTCTAGTCAGTGCTACATACATACCAGGTAATTGTTTGCTTTAATAGAACTGTTACAGAGTTCACTTGCTTTCTGACTTTTCTTCGGTTATATTGGTTTGTCTTTCACGTTATAAGCCCCTATCATTTTGTGAGTTGTCTAAATTCTGTTGAAAAGTTTGTACAACTTTGTAAAAGTAAATATGTTTTTTTTTTTTAATTAATTTGTTATTACCAGTATAATGGATTACTGGTGTACAGTAATTTAATTCAGAAAAAAAGTTTTGTTTTTTTCAGATTTCCATCGTCTTAATTTTTAGTCAATACATATATAGTAGATTCCGTTCCATGTCAGTTTTTAACAGTTAAATGCTATTTATTCACACGCAGGATTCCAAACTGGCAGTTGTTCAGTTGCCCTGGGCAACCTTTTTTGCCATGGGACAACAAAATCATGTTTTAACTGGTTGCCCATTAGGACAATTGATTTATTATTTTTTAAATTGTTTTTAGAAGTCACTACTTGTAAATGCAAGTTTTTATAGTCCAGTGCAATATTGTCACTG